ATTTTTTAACAATTCCATAAAAAATATTTACATTTTTTTAATATTTATTCCGTCGATAAAATTAAGAATAGACCTCATTTAGATATGTGCACTTTATAAAGACTCACACTGTATGTACATTTTTTTTTACTTAAATTTGTTGTTTTATTGCATTGGCCTATAATGAAATATCACAAAATGGTTCTATCTTGTTTCAAATATAGACTTTGCTACAGCATGTCGTACGAATAGCATCATCTAGAATCGCTTCTCCATGAACTGCTTGATAATGAAAGACCCTCAATGTCTTCAGACAGTGAAGCTCGAAGTGATATCGAACCGGCGAATGCTTCATCAGATGACATACAGAATTCAGACTATGAAGACAAGTTAAGTTACCAAGAAGCTTCGGGTAACAACAGCGCCTTTTATTTCATCATCATAATCATTCATCATTAAAGCCTTTCCTAAGTCCACTGCTCAACATAGGCCTCCCCCAAGGAATGCCACAAAGCACGGTCCTGAGCCACCTGCATCCATCGACTTCCTGCATGTCTTACCAGGTCGTCACTCCATCTCGTGGGGGTCGCCCTACACTTCGCCTACTGGTACGAGGCTGCCACTCAATAACCTTTCTTCCCCATCGGTTGTCGGTTCTTCGAGCTATATGGCCGGCCCACTGCCACTTCAGCTTACTAATCCGTTGGGCTATGTCGGTTACTCTCGTTCTACTGCGGATATCCTCATTCCTAAGTTTATCACGCAGAGAAACTCCGAGCATAGCCCTCTCCATAGCTCGCTGACCTCGACCTTGAGCTTCCTCATACGGCCAGCAGTGAAGGACCACGTCTCAGATCCGTAAGTCATCACTGGCAACACGCACTGGTTGTACAATTTCATTTTAAGGTTTTGAGGTATGTCTGACGAGAAGGTGTGTCGTAGCTTCCCGAACGCTGCCCAGTGGAGTTGAATCTGTCGATTGACCTGTCGGTCGAAGTTGGACTTACCTAGTCGGACTATTTGTCCCAGGTAAACATACTCGTCAACAACTTTGAGCTTAGTGCTCCCAACAACTACCGGCATAGGTGTGACATGGACATTAAACATAATCTTTGTTCTGTCCATGTTCATCTTAAGACCTATCCGTTGGGAGACACTATTGGGGTCATTGAGCATAGTGCTTAGGTCCTCCAGTGATTCTGCCATAAGGACTATATCGTCGGCAAATCGAAGGTGAGTGATGTACTCGCCATTGATGTTAATACTGTATCCTTTCCAGTCCAGAAGCTTGAAAACGTCTTCCAATGGAGCGGTGAGAGTTTCGAGGATATAACGTCACCCTGTCTTACACCTCTCTGCAATTGGATAGGTTTCGTACTCTGGTTCTGTACTCGGATAGCAATCGTAGCTCTACTGTACAAGCACTTCAGCACTTCGATATACTGACAGTCAACTTGGCACCGCTGAAGGGACTGCAGCACCGCCCAAATTTCGACGGAATCAAAGGCTTTCTCATAGTCCACATACGCCAGGCATAGTGGCAAATTGTACTCCTCGGACTTCTGTACAACTTGCCGAAGGGTATGTATGTGGTCTATGGTGCTAAAGCCCTTTCGGAAACCGGCTTGTTCGGGAGGCTAGAAGTCGTCAAGTCTGCGTGCGAGACGATTCGTAATGACTCTCGAAAACAGCACGTAGACGCGGCTCAGAAGGGAAATTGGTCTGTAGTTCTTCACGAGAGCATTGTCACCTTTCTTAAAGAACAAGACCACCGCACTTCTGCTCCACGCCTCCGGTGTAATGCCACCACTTGCCTTTTATTTAGGAAAGGATAAAGTACGAAATGGAGCAAAGAACCTCAACTTCCCTTCAAATTTTTTTTTTTCAAATTCAATTCGTTTATTGCGAATATAGGTTGATACAGTTGGTGTTTACATAGTTTATCACTTATAGAACAAACATTTAGTACAGCTATATTCCGCCATTTGGCATGCAATGTCCATCACATTTTATTACTTTTATATTAAATTACTTAAACATACTCTAGTTAAAATTGGAATTAACATGATACAAAATCAAAAATAATAGCGATAAGTCAATTTAGATAATATTGTATAAGTCAAGTCAATTTAGTTATTCTCAGTCATGTAACAGTTAATTATTGAATTTCATATTTGTCTTCGAGATATTCTTTCACACTGTAGTATGCCTTATTAAGAAGAAATTGCTTCAATAGTATTTTAAACTTATCTATATTGGAGCATCTCAAAATGTGTAATGGTAAATGGTTATAAATTCTAGGGGCCATACAAAATACACTGTTGTTAAATTGGGCTGTGTTGTTTGATGGAAAACATATTTTTTGATTATTACGTTTACTGTGTAGGCACTCAAATAAAGAAATATGCGTAGTAACAAAAACGGCTATCTCATATATATAAAGGCACGGAAGTGTTAACAGTTTCAGACTAATAAAAAATGGTTTACAACTATCTGTCTGTTTTAACTTCACAATGGCTCTTACACATCTTTTTTGGGCTCTAAATATCATTTCATTATCTACAGAGTTACCCCAAAAGATGACACCATACCTTAACACCGATTCTACATAACCGTGGTACGCAGTGATGACGGCAGATTGATTCACAATTGTTCCAAGTCTATATAGAGCATAAGAGAACCGATTGAGTTTAGTACAAATATCTTCCACTTGAGATTTCCATTTTAAGTTTGAATCGAGATTAAGGCCTAAAAATTTTGCATTTTCGACTACATTAATTTCTTGTCCGTTTCGTGCCAATATGTCCGTTTTAGAAGTTTCAATATAGTAACTTAGTTACCAGAACCTAAACAAGCTATACGTAGTGAAAAGGACTCTCTTGGAATTTGGAGACTCTTCTTTGACGACACTATAATTGAAATTACTCTCGAGTATACCAACCAATACATTGCTTCAGTGAAAGATAATTGTTAGAAAAATGTAATGTAGTGCCTTATATTTATTATATATTATATATATATAGAAAAAGCTCCAGGTCCAGACAAAGTGACAAACGAACTTATTAAAGGCACCCTTGAAGAACTACTGCCAATACTCACTTCATTATTCAATGAAATACTATCAATGGGTCTAATCCCTACTAAATGGAAAACATCAAACATTATACTTATATTCAAGAAAGATGATGTCAAATATTTACAAGGTATTTTCTAAAGTTATCCTGGAAAGAATAAGCAAAAAGTTAGACGAAAACCAACCAAGGGAGCAAGCAGGCTTTAGACATAATTACTCCACTCTGGACCACATACACACAGTGAAACAAATTGTAGAAAAATATAATGAGTTTAATAAAAAACTCTATATGGCATTCATCGATTACTCTAAAGCTTTTGACAGCATAAGGCACACAGCCATATGGGAAAGCCTAGAACAGCAGGGGATACCTTTAAATTATATCAATATTATAAAGAACATATACTTGAACGGCGAAGCGAGGATCCAACTAGAAACCTTGGGAAAAAAGTTCAAGATCGAGAGGGGAGTAAGACAGGGAGATCCTCTTTTGCCAAAACTGTTCTCAGCTGCTCTGGAAAGTATCTTCCGCAAACTAGACTGGGAAGAATACGGTCTCAATGTGCAGGGTGTAAAACTGAACCACCTAAGATTTGCAGATGATATAGGCTTATTTGAGGAAAATCCGACGCATCTTGTTAAAATGATAGAATCACTAAATGAAGAAAGCCTGAAAGTTGGCCTAAGCATGAACAAATACAAAACAAAACTGCTTACAAACTCTAAAAATGTAATTATAAAAATTGACAACCAACCACTCGAATATGTGTCAGACTATATCTACTTAGGACAGATAATATCTCACAAAGATCAAACCACTAAGGAAATTGAGCGAAGAATAGGATATGGATGGAAGAAATACTGGTCTTTGAAAGAAGTTTTAAAATCTAAGGAGCTAAGTATGCAAATACAAAAGGAAAGTTTTCAACACATGTATACTTCCAGTCATTACTTACGGATGCGAAACCTGGGCACTCACCAAACCCCACAGAGAAAAGTTGGAACGCTGTCAGAGAGCCATGGAGAGAAGTTTGACAGGAATAAGGAAATAGGACAGAGTAAGATGTAGCATAATAAGAGATAAAACTAAAGTTGTCGATATAATAACCTGAATAGACCAACAAAAGTGGAGATGGACAGGTCACATGATGCGCGATCCACAAGAGAAGTGGTGCAAAACTGTTACTGACTGGTATCCCAGAGATGGCAAAAGAAGTAGAGGACGCCAACAAACAAGATGGGAAGATGACTTAAAACTCACGGCTGGACATCATTGGAGAAGGGTAACGTGGGACAGGTCCCAGTGGAAAATGTTAGAGGAGGCCTATGCCAAAAGGCAAACTGAGCTTCGGGACATATTATAACAAACAAGAACATGTATTCATATTTAACCAAGAAGTTCAGAATAAAAAAGGCTTATTTTATTATATTATATTATATTATATTATATATATATATATATATATATATATATATATATATATATATATATATATATATATATATATATATATATATATATATATATATATATATATATATATATATATATATATATATATATTTGAATGAAATATTGTTGTTTTAATGTCAAACAATTTATAAGTAACAAAAAAATGGTCAGTAAATAAAAGATTTTGAAAAATCTTCCATTGATAACTGCAGTACGAGGGACCGGGGTCACTGAAGATGTAAGTGAAATCGACATCACTGTTGGCAGGTTAATATACTTTTTAATTTCTTTATTTATCTTTCAATCTATTAATAATTTATTTATATAAACCGAGTTTCCTGTCAATTACACATAAAAATAATGTAGTACAGAATTTGCATAGCTCGACTTTAACCAAAGTTACAATGAAAGCCAAATAATCTCCTTTGACTCTGGCCAAAAACTGACCTTCGGTTGGTCACTAAAAACCTCTCTATATTTATTAAAATATCTTACCTCTTAGTCGGCACTTTAAGCTCCTTCAGTCTTTTAATACCATCAATTACTGCAGCCTGTGCCTGCCGATGAATTAGATTTTCTCGTTTGAACTCATTTAGAACTGGATCTTGAGTAGGATCGTACAACTGATTACCTTTTGTGTTTTCTTTTATATTTCTGTAGGTTTGTGAAAGATGCAATTAAACATTTTGTACGGATAAGAATCATAGGTAACATAAGAATTAAACATTATATTCAAATAAAATAGTAAGTTAACACTTTCAATAACTCTTTCCAATTGATTACATAAGTTTCCTAGGTGGTGGGACTACTTTTATACCTACTAACCTCTCTGAGTAGATTCCACACTTTCTCTTATTTGTGCCGCCAATTAGCTATGCGTGCAATGCATTATTCCGGTCTAAAGGGTATAAACAGCTATAATTACAAGCCGTGAGGCATAGTAATGACATACATATCTTACTCCTCAGAGGCCCTTGGAGGTGACAGTGCATATGTAGCCTTTACTTATTAAAAGTTGATTACAGGTGTCTACTTACCATCAGGCAGACTAAATTCCTAAGCTATGCAGATTATGCTATTAACTACACTGAAATATTTAGATGTACCACATATACCATTGCAACCTGACAAAGCCTGCCTGCTTACCGACCCCCACACTGCTCTCTCGCCATCAAGTGTCAGTACTGCAAGCTATCTACTCACATTACAGCCCATAAATATCTACATTTATTCTCAATTAAAAAATCAAAATGCAGATGTTATTAAATTGTACAAAGATACTTTCAAGAATAGACAATAAAATAAATTTCTTAAAAATATGCTACGTACAAAAATATAGAAAAAGTAGCTTTATACCAACTTTCTTCTCTGAGCTGTCTCTTCCATTTGCAGAGCAACATCAGGGGCCATTGGGGCTACTGTTGTAACCAAATCTAATTTTTCTATCCATGGCAGTTTAAGTTCAATTTCTTTTAGTTTTGCCTTTAAATCCGCAACATTATTAACATATTTTTTTATAGCTTTCTCTATTTCCTCGTTTAGGCCCGGCTTAAGAATACCTTTGGCAAAAGCTTCTTGTAACTATGAATGTAAAAATATTTGTGTTAAAAACAGTGCTCAAGTAATTTAAAATTTCATTTTACTTTCATTATTTGCCTCCCATAAAATTACAACAACGTGTGTAGCAACATTAACAAAAAAAAAACAATTTCGAAAGCCTGGACAACTTTTTTGGATGTTTTTGGACATTAATTATTGTAACTAAAAGAAAGATACCTCTTCATCGGAATCGATGTCTGTTTCGCTATCGTTTAAAACGAAGTCATTCATTATAATATGTTTTATGTCGATAAATTTAACATAACCGTATTGATATTGTGAAATAACCTCTTGAAATTAGAAAATAAAAATTGAGAAAACGTGTAATATTTTTTTTAAACTGACTTTGACGGCTCTGGGTTCTAGTCCTTCAGAGCCACAGACTACTTAGAGGATACTACACAAAGAGTATAGTAACTGTCCTATACAGGAAATACTACGTGCTTCTGACTGTTTGTACGAAGTACATGTATTTCCATGTTCCGACTACTAGCCTAAAACGTGTATTTTTTTTAAAACTGGTTTCAAGGCTCTGGGTTCTAGCCCTTCTGAGCCTGAAGTTACAATGTATAATTATCCTTCATAGTACACTACTTCACAAAATTTTAATGCGTCACATTGTGCAGCCCTTGGGAGATTTTGACGGCAACTTTCAAGGCACCTAAGCAGACAGACACCTTATCTTGAGAATCACATCACCATCAGAGCAATTGTTTCACCGTTTCTACTAAGAGTTCACATACTGCGCACACCTAATACACAAAATTGCACCACTTTTAAAAATGAAAATCCATTTCACACCATTATTTAAACAATAATACAGGAGCAGCAAACCGCCGCCGTTCAAGTTCCCTGTAAACGTGATCACAGAGTACAACCAGGCCTCCGTCACTCGCTCAAGGCCCTGCGTTATATGCCTACCGTTTTGCGTATCGCCCACGATACAACCGACATTGGGCTGCCGCACGCCCGCCTGAGCGTTTGCACCGCGCACTTTTCCCGCGCTTACTCGTCGACATGCCGAAACCACGTAATTATTGTGCAGTGGATGGGTGTCAGAGTCAAAAACAAATGAAAAATTGTCATTTTTATCTTAACTATAAGATTACATCGAAGCAACATAATAACAGTGCTTGATTTATAAATTGAGTGACAACCTGGACACCCAAATTATGTAATAACTTATATAATAAGTCTTAAATAATTTTGACAACGCCATAATCAATAGGCCTGGCAGCAGCGTGTTAAAAATTTTACAAAACATTGATTTTCCTCCGCTTTCCTCCTGTTTTCCTCATGATTATTTATTAAAATTATTTACGCGAATTAGGATATTCAGAGAAGGAAAAAAATGTATAAATCATTTTATAAAACTCAAAATATTTGATTGAAAATTACAAAATATGGTTATTTCGCAAGATTCGTTTTATTACAATAATCATCATAGGTACAGCCCTAGCGCATTCGTGCGATGACGCGTTTGCACGTGAGGCGCACGGCAGTCAACACAATCTCGACTTTTTATGCGCGTACTTATGGTACATTTTCTTCTCGCTGCGAACAGCAGATATTATTATTAAAATTTTGTAGGCTATTATAGCGTAGGTATTTTCGCTTTTGTATGGGAGTGATGTATCTGTTTAGTAAACTATTAAGTAATTTGTGGTACAACGTGATTTTGATTTGACCATAGATATAAAAAGCATAGATAAATAAATATGTAGATAAAAAGTACTCTGTGCCATCTATACATATAATAAATCTGTAGCAAAATTGTGTTCACGATACCTGCAAAAACAACCGAACAAAGGAGACAATTTCTTTTTATATGGAGAATGGGCCAACCACGAATTTCAGAGAACTTTAATGAAATAAGACATACATTTCATTAAAGTTCTCTGAAATTCGTGGTTGATTTATTCTTTATAATCTATAGATTACAAAATTAATATTAGTTTTATAGCATCTAATGGGAATTCTGAGAAATTAACAATTGAAATATGAATATCACAATAACCTTAAAACAAACGAAATGCGATTTTCTAGTAGTTTTTTGCAGATATTATGAGTTAGAATAGTGTATATAGAATAGAATAGCTTAATGATTCATAGTATTAAAAAGTTGTAGGTACATTCAGCTATTATAGGTACTTTAAGATTGATGGAAAATACTTTTAACACTTCCTTCACGTAGTGCACAGACAAACAAACGTAGTGTTGGGGAATATTTTTATAGGTATTAATTAATTAGAGAATATACATCACAAGCACCATTAAAGTAATTAAATAAATATGATTAAAGACGAGATTCATCATTTCATCTTTACAGTCTTTCATAAGTCCACTGCTGAACATAGGCCTCCCTCAAGGAATGCCACAATGCTCGGTCCTGAGCCACCTGCATCCATCGACTTCCTGCATGTCTTACCAGATCGTCACTCCATCTAGCGGGGGGACGACCTGCTATATAGCCGGCCCACTGCCACTTCAGCTTACTAATCCGTTGGGCTATGTCGGTCACTCTGGTTCTACTGCGGATATCCTCATTTCTAAGTTTATCACGCAGAGAAACTCCGAGCATAGCTCTCTCCATAGCTCGCTGAGCGACCTTGAGCGTCCTCATACGGCCAACAGTGCAGGACCACGTCTCAGATCCGTAAGTCATCACTGGCAACACGCACTGGTTGTATAATTTCGTTTTAAGGTTTTGAGGAATGTCTGACGAGAAGATGTGTCGTAGTTTCCCGAACGCTGCCCAGCCGAGTTGAATCCGTCGATTGACCTCTCGGTCGAAGATGGACTTACCTAGTCGGACTATTTGTCCCAGGTAAACATACTCGTCAACAACTTCGAGCTTAGTGCTCCTAACAATTACCGGCATAGATGTGACATGGACATTGAACATGATCTTTGTTTTGTCCATGTTCATCTTAAGACCTATCCGTTGGGAGACACTATTAAGGTCATTGAGCATAGTGCTTAGATCCTCCAGCGATTCTGCCATAAGGACTACATCGTCAGCAAATCGAAGGTGAGTGATGTACTCGCCATTGATGTTAATACCGTATCCTTTCCAGTCCAGTAGCTTGAAAACATCTTCCAATGCAGCGGTGAAGAGTTTCGGGGATATTACGTCACCCTGTCTTACACCTCTCTGCTTAGTTGGATAGGTATCGTACTCTGGTTCTGTACTTGAAGAGCCATCATAGTCCTACTGTACAAACACTTCAGCACTTCGATATACCGACAGTCAACTTGGCACCGCTAAAGGGACTGCAGCACCGCCCAAATTTCGACGGAATGAAAGGCTTTCACATAGTTTATATACGCAAGATATAATGGAAAATTGTACTCCTCGATCTTATGTACAATTTGCCGAAGGGTATGTACGTGGTGTATGGTGCTAAAGCCTTTTCGGAAACCGGCTTGTTCGGAAGGCTGGAAGTCGTCGAGTCTGTGTGCGGGACGATTCATAATGACTATCGAAAACAGCACGTAGACGCGGCTCATAAGGGAAATCGGTCTGTAGTTCTTCAAGAGAGCGTTGTCACCTTTCCTGAAGAACAAGACCATCGCACTTCTGCTCCACGCCTCCGGTGTAATGCCACCATGGAGGACGGAATTAAAAACCTTCTGAAGGACTTCAAGAATCGGTTTTCCACCCGCTTTCAGAAGCTTCGCTGAAATTCCATCTTCGCATGGGGCCTTGCCGATTTTAAGATGCTGGAGAGCCATTCTAATCTCGCTCAGACTGACGTCCGGGATATCTTCGGAATAGTATCGGATAAGACTCGCTCTTGGATCGTTACTCACACTTGCATGTGGCTCCAACGATGACGTGTACAGCTGCCCATAGAACCTCTTAAACTCACTCAAATCTCAGGTGCCCCGGAAACGATGCTGCCACACTCGGTCCTCAGCTTTGACAGTTGGCACTTTCTGTCAGACAGATCTCTAGCAAAGACTTTGGAGCCCTGGTTCCGCTCGATCGCTTCTTTATTACGAGCAGTATTAAAGTTGCGTAAGTCCCGCCGCATGCTTTTGGAGATATGTCTGTTCAGTTGCCTGTATGCTGTCAAATCTGTTGAAGAATGTAGCTTCATCTCCCGTCTAACAGCCATTAGATTAAGAGTGTGATCGGAGAGTTTTTGTGTTCTTCTGCGGCGGGTCTTGCAGAACTTAGCCCCGACCGCATGGACAGTTTCCACGAGCTTGTCATTCATATCGTCCACTTCATTGCAGTTTTCTAGGCACTGAATACGGTTTTGTAACTCGAGCTGAAAGGTTTCAGGACTTTGGAACGGAGCACGAGCGGGACGGAGCGTTAACTTCATTAGACGAGACCTCTCCAACTTAACGTTTAGGTTCAGTGTGCCTCTAACCATTCGGTGATCGCTACCAGTTTTCACCCTCGCGATCACTGAACAGTTGTCGTCTGGTCGTCATAATGAAATCAATCTCATTTTTTGTCGAATGGTCGGGGCTCAACCAGTTCCACTTCCTGTGGGGCCGCTTCTGGATGAGAGTTCATCATAAAGAGTCCCTCTTTCTCCATGAGGTCGGCCAGCTGCTGGCCCCTTGGGTTCCGTTGCCCTAATCCAAATTTCCCTACTTTCAGCTCACCGTTCTCTCTTGTGCCTAGTTTTGCGTTAAAGTCTCCCATTAACACCGTATAGTGGGGTTTGGAAGAATTCATGGCTCTAAATATATCTAGATATATTCTCATACATTTCCTCCACCTCCTCATCGGGGTGTGCCGAGGTTGGTGCGTAAACCTGTATGACCTTCAGCGAAAACCGTTTAGTGATTCTGAGTATAAGGTACGCAACCCTCGTCGACACACTCCCAATCTTTACGACGTTGTTAACGAGAGACTTGGGGACGATAAATCCGACACCTCCTTGGGACAGATGGTCGCCCTCCCCGTGATAGAACAAGTTGCCGTACTCGAGGATTACCGTGTCCTCGCCCTCTCTTCGGTTATAAGTTGCCAGATCAAGTCGTCGTAAGTGGCAACCGAACCTCCACCGGAGATTCTTAGCACCCCCTGCCCTGCCGTTACCATGGTCGCCACCATATCCCGGAATAGCGGGGCCGCCGGGGACTGAGGGTCGTTTACTAGTCACTGCTCATGGGGGATAGGTATATGGCCATAGTTGCCACGCTTGGCGAGCGGGTTGCAACTGCAGTTTTTTTTATTGTGATTTCGGCTACTATCAGGAAGATGCTGC